AAATAGAATAAAATAAAAGAAAATAGTAAATTATAAAAATAATGAAGTAATAAAAATAATTAATTTAAAAACTTAAAAAATAAGAATATAAAAATTAAATTTAAAAATTAAAATAATATATAAATAAATAAATAATAATTATTATTATTGACATTATTATTGACATTATTATTGTTATTATTTTATTATTATTATTATTATTATTATTATTGCTATTATTCTTGTTACTATTATTATTATTGTTATTGTTTTTGTTATCATTAAAATAAAATAAAAATAAGAAAATGATAAATAATAAACTAAGAGCTAGATTGATGTATTTATTTTAATGTTAGTCAAAAAATGGCTCATGCTTGCTTTCTCAATGCTTACATTCACCTAGTAATAGTAGCTATATTATAAAGTGTTACCTGTGGCCAGCGAATATGAGCCATGGTGTGACAGATCTATCAACAGAAGACAAGTGATCCTTTAGCCAATTGTACTGAACTGAATTGACAGTGAAATCAATCTCAGTGCTCATCAGCACAAAATGGACACTACCAAGTGAAAAACCATACCTATATAATAATAAAAATAATAAAGATAGGGCAGTAATTATAACATTCATAATAAAAACTGTACCAGTGTTGTTTGGGGTCTGGACGTGGCATTTGAAACCTCATTTCGTAAGGTACTCCACACTCTCCACCAGAATCAGTACCTTCATAATATGAACTAGCAAAATAAAAAAATTAAAGTCACAAATAATTAGTTACATTTATTTACCCAGAGTGTGGGTAGTCTCTTTCGTGATTACCACCACAGACCATGTAAGGGACTCGAGATGATATCGGCTGAATGAGATCAAAGAACTCATCCCACTAGAATAACAGAGAGAGAGAGAGGAATTAAGAGAATGATGAAAAAAGAAAAAGAGCAGAGAAACGACAGAAAAGAGCAAAAGAAAAATAACAATAGAAAAAATAATAAGAAAAATGTTTTACCACTCCAGCATATCCAATTGCATAGCTAATGTCTCCAATGTGAAGTACTAGGTCTCTCTCATTCACTTCCTTTGCCATGAGGTTAGTGTTGTTGACAGCTGGAGGCTCTGCATGCACGTAAAGTGGTTGGAGTGTATCGTCCACTTGAGCTTGACCCATATCTAAAAATAACATGGAAAATTCTCTCCTAGTCATTTTTGGCGAAATTTGGCCAATAACCCTGTACTATAGTACAGGGACTTTGGCCCAATTTTGGAGCAACTTTAAAAATTCATAAAAAATCCAATTTTGATTGGAATCAACTCAAACTTGTTACACAACATAGGAACATGTATATGTATCAGAAAAAATTATAAAAATAAAAAATTCTCTACTAGTCATTTTTGGCAAAATTTGGCCAACGACCCTGTACTATAGTACAGGGACTTTGGCCCAATTTTTGAGCAACTTTAAAAATTCATAAAAAATCTAATTTTTATCGGAATCAGCCCAAACTTGTTATACAACATAAGAACATGTATGTGTATCAGATAAAAATATAAAAGTAGAAAATTCTCTCTTGGTCAGTTTTGGCAAAATTTGACCAAAGTCCCTGTACTATAGCACAGGGACTTTGGCTCAATTTTGGAGTATCTGTGAAAAAAATCCAAATTTGATCAAAATAAATTCAAATTTTCTAAAAACCAAAGGCCATTAAATAAATTAGCTCTCAAATCTTAATATAGTAGTGGAATGGACTTACCTCCAAAGGCAATGAAGGTGATGCTAGCATTAGGTGAAGGGGCAGGAGGCATACGAAATGAGAACACTTGACTCCACTCAGGATCATCACCAAACTGATAGTTATACTCTTGACCAGGTGTTAATCTAGGTACATGCAATAATAATAAATAATGGGCTTCATTATGTATCAGAAAGATGATTTCAGAGCCAAATTTTTGAAAATATTATTAACTGTTGTCCATGTTTTTTTTCTAAAAATTGAATTGAAATTGTATCCAGTTCTTTTTATGGGCATGTAAAAAAATACAAATAACAAAAGATGCTTAAATTTTGCACATTTTCAAACAACCAATACCCATAATCAATTACTTATCTTTATCATTCCCCCCTCTCTCTCCTTACCCTGACAGTTTAGCAGTATGAAGCATTCCTGGGTCAATATATCCTACAGTAGTAGCTGGAGGCCCACACATGTCCTTGCTAGTGTATTTATTAGAAGTAGCTGCTTCAATCCTTATATAGGTTGTCATATTTTGCCAAAACTTGACTTTTGGCTCATGAGAATCTCTAGTGCTCCATGTCAACCTGAAAGAATAAAGAATTAAGGTGATAATGTAATGGCAGACATACAATAGGGTAGTTGGGTCATTGGTTAGTGCTAGATGAGGCTGGAGTGGCTCATTGGGGCTGGAGAATGTGACCTGCTTAGATGTAGCAACGAGAGTAGGAGCATTAAAACCTAGAAAAGGACAAGGGAATGTAATAAATAAATTAATATAATATATAATTTTAAAATCGAAAGGAAATTACATTGATGCCTTTTTTACACTTCAATGGTAAAAATTAAAGCAATAATATTATCATCATCATCATCACTAATACTCATTATGCTTGGTTATACTCACCTCCTGTTAGTAATGCAAACACGTAAGGAGTTCTCACATTGACC